CTTGGGCCAGAGCACCCCAGTCCTGCTTGGGCCAGAGCACCCCAGTCCTGCTTGGGCCAGCGCACCCCAGTCCTGCTTGGGCCAGAGCACCCCAGTCCTTCTTGGGCAGAAGGCGCCAGCCAAGACTGAGCAAGTGGGGAGCGCTACCATGGGTACATTACCGTGGGGTGCGCTACTGTGGGGTGCGTGACTGTGGGGTACACGACTGTGGGGTGCGCGACCATGGGGTTCGTGACCGTGGGGTGGCTCTGAGAGCAGTGTGGGCGGAAGATCCCCCGCACTTTCACCAGCACCAGCAGCTTCAGGACTGACTGCAGAATTAGATTCTTCTCTCCCGGGCCCAGGCCCCTTCCCACAGACAGGGGCCATTCAAGGCTGGGCCTGAAGGTGCATCACCTGCTCTGACCCCCACTCTCCCCTTCACAGGTCCCCCCAACAAGCCCTTTGCACGAGCTCAGGATTCAGTGTTTGTGCCCCCCCCCACATCGCACGCTGAGCCCCGCCGCCAGTGATGTCACTCTGAGGAGGCGCCTGCTGAGCCCAGGCCCTGGGCAGCGTGGACAGCAGAACCTGCTGCAGGACCTGAACAGCACCGAGTGGTCTCATCCGCACAACAGCAGAGCCCTGCCACAGAAGAACAGGTGCGAGCCCCTCAGCCGGGCTGAAGCCTGATGGGAGCCTTTGTCACTCCTGTGCCCAGTTGGTGGCGCTTCACTGCGGTTAGCTCGTCCCCTGAGTTTCGGGGACACGCGAGGCCCCGCTGCTGGAAGGCAGAGATGGAGGTGGGAAGGAGACTCAGGGCAAGGCCGGAGGGCGTCAGGGCATGCTGCAACTGCAGGGAAGTTGGGGCTCTTGACGGCGGGTTGATGACTAGTGAAAATCACTTCACAAGCCCGGCGCCAGAAGGGCCTTGGCGCAGACGGCCGGAGCTACGAGCGACACCCGCACATCCGCCTGGTTCCCGGCTGGGCCGCAGGCTGGGGAGGCTCACGGGGCGCTCAGACGTCCCACAGAGCACCCTGCAGCTACCCATGGTGTGACGTGAGGTCTAAACAGGTGACGTTCTCGTTTCGAGTGTCAGCCTGACACTTCTGGAAAGAGCTGAACATACCAAACTATTAAGAAAGGCAGTGGGGTAAAAAACTAAAGGTTTTTGTCTCCAGCGCAGAGCCAAGGATTAATGTGCTACTGCATGCAGTCACAGAAGAGTGTGCGACAGGAGAGACTTGTGGGAGAAAAAAGAGAGGAAGCGAGCAGGGGGGAAGGGGGGGTAGCCGGAGAGAAAGATGGGAGAGGGGAGCGGGAGGCAGGAAAGAAACACGTCAAATTCAGTCGTCAGATTATTTTGCACCAGAAAAAAACTTGGTTTCTGCAGTGAGCCTGCCAGTAGAATGAGCCATAAAGAAACTCGGAAAGTTCTGATTTTAAAAAACGACTTCTGCTCCGAACATGCGTTCTTTGCTCCCAAAGGGTTCGCCCAGGAAGGCACCTTGCGGGGTCCCCCCACGCCCGTGAAGACCCAGGGCCGCCCAGGGTCACAGCTCTCCTGCGCGGCCTCCAGGCGGGCTGTGAGGCTCACACGCTCTACCCGGGTCTTCATTTACGAGCTCAGTGTCTGGATCACTGCAAGTGTCTCCCTGCCCCCACGACTTTTACCTTCAACTGAAATATCCTGAATGGCGAAGCGGAGGATGATGGTCCAGATCATGCCCAGCGTCATTTTCACGTTGCCATCAACAATTTCTGTAGGTGAGAAGAGGCAAGTTGGCGTGAGCACGGCGTAGTCAGCGCCTTCCTTTATCCTACAAGCCGCACGTCTTCGATGACGTTGGACTTCAGAGCTACTACCGGCAGCCGACGCGAGGGGAGCAGGCGTCCGCGCCAAGCGTGCCATGCAACTCGGCATCAGCGTGGGATTCGAAGCCAGCTGTCCGCAGGGTGGGTGAGTAGTAAGCACGAAGCATGCTCCTTGCACAGATACAGCCACTGCACGCAGAGCAGGGATTTCCGAAGGGTGACGAGTGGGTGAGCTCAGATTCCAGATCAGCAAATGCTGAGGGCAGACTCGCCTTCACCCTGACCCTACTTTTACCGCATCCAGCTGGCATTAAGGAACTCAGCTGCGTATTACAGAGGCAGGTGGTCTCGGCCCCCGCCCGCCCCCGGGCCACCGACCCCCACAGAGAATAAAGAGCCCACGTCTTTCCTATAACTAGCCCCAGCCAAGACTGGTTGGGAGGCTAGGCTCTTCCTCACGCTTGTGTCTGCTCGAAGAAGACTGCGTTGTACTTGATTATCTTTACAGACAATTCTAGGGCGTGTGGCACAAGGCACAGGGCGTGGTGGAGCAGGGGGCCGGGGAGAACCACACAGCTGCAGCCCGACCCCCACCCCTGTGCCTGGCAGGGTCCCCGCCCCTCGCTTACCCTCGGCCCCGATGGACACCAGCTTGACACCCTTGCTGGCGATGTAATCCAGGGCTTTGTTGACATTAGCAATTTTGTGGAATCGCATTTTTCCCCGGTCAGGTTTCGGCAGCCTCTCCCCTGTCAGGTGAAAACAGAATAGTGTGGACACAGAGAAGGTGACCCCCGGCTGCAGAGCTAAGACGTCGGCGTTCAGAGTCCTGAATGTGGTTTCCTTAAGCAGAAATAGTCCTGTTGGGTGAACCCCTGGCTTCTTTAGCCAGACGGCGTCGCGATTAGGTGGGCCAGCGAGGGCTCACGCCTTAAGGCCACCTGCTGTCCGAATCTGCTGGCACAGCCCATGTGGCCAGTGGGCCACTCAGAAATGAGCAAAGAGAGACACCGGCGGGCGTCCCTGGACCACGCCGAGCCGCTGACAAGCTTAGAAGTGCCGGGCCTGGTTCGAGGCAGCGGTGGCTGCCGGGACCCCTCAGATGCTGCCTGCTTTTCTGTGGCCAGGGGAGACTCAGTAACACCCTCCCCAGTCACGCTTCTTCAGGGGAGCCAAGCTCCAGCCCGAGTTTAAACCAGACACCCGAAACGCAGGCAACACAGAGCACCTCTGGGGGTGAACTGTGGTCTCGCCAGTATCTAAGACACTGTTGCCTTCTTGCTGTGTTTGTATGAAAGGTGATTTCCGGGATACACACAAGCTAGACCAAGAACGGAAAAGCGGGTGCTGGGCAGTGGGGTACGCATGTCATGTTTTCCGTCTCGTTTTGTTCTGAGATGGGTTACCAATTACCCATCATTTTAGTGAGTCGACTTTAAACAGCATTGACTCTTTTAGAGCAGAAACATGACTTCAGGCAGAAGGTCCTGTTAGACTCCTCTTTGCCAATAACACGTTCTAGCCTCACCTCTAAAGCAGCGCCAACCTGGAGTGCAGAGCCAGAGTCTAAGACCTAGGGAAGAGCGTAAGACGAACCTGAGATGACTTCCAAAAGCAGCATGAGCTTAAGGCCATTCCTGAAGTCCTCCTCGATGTTCTCAATCTGGGTGCCAGCTTTCCTGAGATGGGAGTTACACCAGGCGGTGAAAGTCTGCAACAAGAACCAGACTCGGCTTAGCAAGGCCTCGTCAGCAGTCACGCTCCACACAGACAACATCGCTCACATTCTGCGCAACTGAGAGGTTGGAATATCCTGGATTCTCTAGAGAAAACAGATTTTTTTTTTTTGAGGTGGCATTAGTTTATGTCACGGTTTGGGCCTCTGATGTGCAGACTGTCACCTCAGCATGCCCACCGCCAAATGTCCAGTTCCCACTGCCCGTCCTCTTCCCTGCCCCCCCTTCCCGCCTGGAAACCTCCACTCTGGTATTAGCGTCAAAGGTTTGGTTTTCTTGTTTCATTGATCTGTTTGCTTTTTGCTTCACGGCATTCAACAAATGTCTGAAATCACTTGGCCTTTGTCTTTCTCCTTCTGACTTCCCTCACTACATGCAACATGGCCCATGCACGTGGTCCCACGTGACAGGGCGCCATCAAGGCTAAGGAGTGCGGTACGTGCTCCGTGCCGTCCTCGTCCAGCCGTCGTTCTCCAGAGCAGCTGAAGTGCAAGTGCCCTGCAGGGCCCGGAGCTCACATCTCTCCGAGCGGTACGTTCACTTTCACTGGGTCAATACCCAGAAGCGGGAGAGCTGGATCAAGGGCGGTGCTGCTTTAGATTTTGAGGAACCGCCACGCTCTTTCCCATGGCTGCTGACGTACAGCCCCGCGAACTTGTTTCTCCACATCCGCAACAACGGTAGTTTCTCCTCCACTTTCTGAGCATAGCCCAGTCTCACGCTGGTCTCGATTCGTAGTTGCCTCCTATCGTCACGCGTCTCCCGGGCCACCTGCTTTGGTGAAATGCCTCTTCAGCTCCTCGGCCAGTTCTTGAATCGGTTGTTTGTTGTTGTTAAGTTGTACAAATTGTTTATATAGTGGGCATTAACCGTTGTCTGGCATGGTTTGCAAATGCCACCCCCCCTCGTGGGCCGCCTTTTCATTTCATCAAGTGTCCTTCGTGGTACAGAAGGTCTTTAGTGTGACGCGCTTCTGTTCTGTCTTATCTTTTGCCTTTGCTTTTGGAGACAAATCCACAAAGACATCAGTGACACCAATGTCAAAGAACTTACGACCTTTGTTTTCTTCTGTATATTTTATGGTTTCAGGCCTTAGAGTTTTTAATCCATTGGGGGGTTGTTGGTTTGCCTTTTTTAGAAAGATTTATTTGCTCATGCTTATGAGGCCTGGGTGCAGGAGTGCGGGGACTCACCCGGGAGAGCAGGCAGCAGAAGAGGCGGCTGGGCCAAAGCGCACAGCGGAGAGCCCGCCGGGGGGGGGGGGGGGGGGGAGGGCAGGGGGCTGCCGCCATAGCTATTCCTAGGTATTTTATTCTTTCTGCTGCGATCAGATGAAACTGTTGTCATCATTTCTCCTTCTGCTACTCCATTGCTGGAGCACAGAAATGTGACGTATTGTTGTATACTGACTCTGCAGCCGGCAACCTCATTTATGGCACGTCACAGCCTTCGGCCGAGCCCTTAGGGATTCCTATATAGAGCCGGTCGCCTGCATATGGTGATAATTTTATTTACTTCTTTCTGGTTTAGAAACCTGTTCTTTCTTTGTCCTGGTCAAGACTCTTAGTTATAGAGGGGTGGAAAGCAGATAGAACTTGCTGGAGAGAATGATTTGAAGCCCAAAGACATGATTTCAACAGAATCTTAGCTTTAGATCAATTCCATACAGCAACTTGAGGACCTCCTGCCCCCCGTGAGGAAAGCTGCCACATGAACAGCCATACCCTCGACTTCTGAGACCCCTTACTCTGAAGGAAAGTCGGACTGGGTTAGAATGTGCTTATTTCTCCTCACACAACAAAATTAAGCCTGCTTGCAGAATGGGTGACTAACGTTTAAAGACTGTTGAAAACATCTTACTCTAGAGCAGAGGTAGGTGGTCTTGTGCCGTAGAAGGAGACGAGAGGAGGGACCCACAGTCCACTAATTACCTACAATTACTTTATCTGGGATGAACAACAGCTTTAAGCTAGTAACTAAATCAATTTTTAAAATTGGCAGTATAGTCAATCATTTTTGTAAAAAATAATAATAGTAATGACTCCCTACTGCCATACTGCAGGCCCTGGACTTCAGAGACAATTAGATGCCGCTCTGCGTGGCAGGGTTCACTGTCCCGCCATGCTGCAGCTTGCTAGAGTGATCGTCAGCGGAATGGTGGATATATACTAAGGAGCTCTGGAGTTATTCTGTTTATTTTTCAAACTCTTTTAACTTGGCTTTCACTTGTGCACTATTTCCTGCCAAAGCCAGATTAGAAATATTTCTGGCAGCTGCTGGGTAAGAATGCAAACTGTCCCCTTGTGTCACAACAGCTGAGAGGCTCAGGAACAAAATGCCGGCGCACCGCACCGGACGGAGACACACGAGTAGGGTCTGTGCTCCTGAGGAGAGAACGCTCCCCTCAAAACACAGGCTGCTTCTTAGTCAGAGTACCAGAAGACACTGCTTCCACAAAGATGCTTTCCCTGGCGGTACGGAGCATTTTAAAAGCTGAGTAAGTCACTTATTTCAAGAAATGATGAACACTAAATTGAGACGATTCCTCCCAAAACACACTTAAACGCTAGTCAAGTCTAAACAGAAGAGAGCATCTACGCCACCACCCAGTCATCGTGGTAGCCGCGCGCCACTCACAGCTATTGAAAAGCAAAGGGAGTCGTTGAACGTGTGTTTATTTTTGTGTGGTGACACTGGTTTAGGGGACGGACTTGGCCTACGGGTGGACATTTCCAGATAAATGAGTCCTTAAGGTAAAATGAAAGTACAGTTTTTTTACTTAGAATACTGAGACCAATAATATACCTAACTGTTCAGGAAAGGCACAAGACAATAACAGGTTGGGAGTTGTTAGAACGGATGAAAGAAAAAAATTACATAAAATATGTATAGGGTTATTTTTTTGGCCCTCCCTGGTGGCGCAGCGGGTTACAGCGCAGCACTAAGAAGCTAAAGCCACTGCAGCATGAGTTCGATCCCCACCCCGGAGGTGACCCACAGGGTGCGGCAGACCTCTCCTGACCCGCCCGCTGCTCCCCTCAGCAGTGGACTTCAATGATCTGCCTGTTCTGCTCCGCGCTCTGTCTCCGTGATTCCTCTCACCGCCCCTGCACCTCTAGTCTATACCTCAGTTCTATATGCACAGAAAAATTCATCTTTTAAAAAATACGTGTAGAGTTATTTTTATTTAGGATGTACTTAAAATGGACAAAGGTTGCAAGTGCCAACTACCTCACCGTATCGCCATGTCCTGTAAGTCCCTTCATGAGACACTGTCACAGGAAGTCCTGGGCTAGCCCCAAAGCTGCTCACGAAATCAGTCCGGCTTCCTGACTCCTCCACGCAATCCCAGGGGAGTCGTCTGCTGCTGCCTTATTACAGGTAAACATACAATGAAGGCAGCCTATCAGGAGACATTATTCAGTAGTGCATGGCCAGGGAATGAGTTTAATCTGAAGATCAGTTTGTTTGGTTCAGCCTAATGAAGTTTCCCCCATCTTTACTAGCGTTCCTAAAGCCAGCTGAGGTGATGATGACCCCACTCACATGTGGAAAGAGGCACCCAGCAGCTCTCTGGTAGGAGCCTGCAGAGGAGCCCTGTGCACTCTGAAAGGGACGTTCAGGCCTGGTGAGGATGTTTCATTTTCGCCTAGTTACAGTTGGAACTACTGCGGCCCACAGAGGCTGTTCCTCTGCATGTCCCATTGTCCTCTGTAAAAAGCTTCCTGGAGGGAAAAGCAACAGCAGCAAAGCCCTACACATTTGACCTAAAGCCTCTGCGGATTCCCTTGCTGTTTGACAGCAACATGCACCCAAGGTCCAAGGGGACTAAACTTTGGGGAACGGAAATGGAAGCAGGCCCCTGACTCAAGCCAGATTACCAGGCTCGATGCCCTTCCGTAATGGAAACAGTGTTCTGTGACCAGACAAGACCGTCAAGGCAGAAGGTCGACGTCTCCCTTGGCCATGTTCTGCGGCACCAAGGAAACTTAAACCCCAGGGCTCACAAGAAGCAGGTCCATCGCCCGGTTGCTGACTCGGGGGATTCGCTGAAAGGCTGAGCCTGCCTGAGTGAAGTCAGGGGCTTCTGGACACTTCCAGCTCCTACGAGGTTCCGGATGGGTTTTCACTGGCCCTGGACATGGTCAGACAAGACGTGGCCACATATCAGGAGGTGAGTTGTATAGCTGCAGACCAGGGAGTGAGTAAGGGCCAATGGCCATGGGCCCCTCCCCCATGCCCACTCTCCCTCAGGGCGGCACACGGTCTAATCCAACCGGATTTACCCAGGGGACGAAGCTGCACACCAGGCACTGAGCAGAGTTGTTCCTAGGAACCCACAGGCTGCTTATGTCAGGTCACCGTACCCCACCCACCACTCAACTCAGAAGCAACTCTCACATGGATGCTCTCTAGCCTCTTCTCTTACTTGCAGATCAAGCCTTCCTCCGCCTCATCCATGGAGAACAGTCATTCCCTGCTCCTCTACAGCAGGTGACCAATACAAAGGTCTCTGGCACCTTGCAAGTGGGCGCATAAAACATGTTCTCAGCCGTGCAAAGAGAACAAGATGGAAAACCCCTTGACTATCTCCAGGAAGGGCAGGCTGATGCTTTTACTTCCTAGCAGACTCCAGAGTCACTCAGGACAAACCTGACAGGAAGAAGGCTCAGGTCGCAGAGAGCAGAGGCAGAGATGCAGTGGCAGCAACGGGACAATCAGCATCTGTTCCCCAAATGTGAGCAGTCACGGGCCGAGAGCTCTGGGCAGGACGATACCAGAGACTGGCTTCCTGCCTGAGGGCCTCTCGGTCAGAGCGGGTGCTCGGAGAGGGCAGTGGGCACAGGAGCAGGCTGGGAGCGAGGCAGCTCCCAGGACTGCTGGCGCCAGGTTCTCAGGCCACACACCTGAAGCTGACACAGACCTCAGCATCTCCCCTCTGGGACAGTCCTGCACAGCACCTGGAGGCCCAGAG